CGCCGGTTTAGCCGGGTCGAGGATTGTTTGGTGGCTGCAGCCGCCCGCGGACCAATTCGGACTGGCAAAAGGACATTAGTTATAAGCGAGTCTGAGGTGGCAGTTCCCTCCTCCTCCCGCAACTCGCCTTTTCAAAAGCTTTTTTGACCGTCCGAAGTTTTCTTCTGTATTCTGTTGATTTATTATTCCTAGGAATAAAAGAAAATCTGTTCGTGCATTTAAAAACAGATCAAGCGCGTGCGGTTATCCATGCAGTCGTAAGGAGGAAGGAGTCAACAGGGTCTAAAATAGGAGACTATAGCAGAGGAGAAGCTTTACAGGTAATCTTCTTGTTGGTTCACACGCACACTACTACTGTATTCCCCTGGCAGGAGTTGTGGGATCACACAAGTAGTTTCAGATGCCTTATGCCTGTCAGCTACACTGACTTCTTTTACCAGACAAATGTATAAGCTTAGGAGACCCCAGAACTTGCAGTGGCCTAAAGTCCATGTGTGCTCATCTTTCGCTGTTTATGGAAGGAAACTTTGGGCATGAGGGAAGTGGCTGAATTGCAGAAGGTAAATTCTGACTTGCCCAATGTTTCGCCCATGGGTTAATTAATTCTATGCTGAATATCTACAAGGTAAAGCAATTGGATTACATCCATATTACCAGTTTTAGGTGTTCCTGTTAGAGACCGCCATCCATCCATCTATCCTGCTTCCCTGCACACATTTCCTTAATATGACACAATAGGAATCATAGGACAGCTGCCCCCTTCCCCCGAAAAAAAAACTGTTGGCCTAAAGCTGGTGCTGCACAAGATAAACTGAATTCTTTTACGGTATCCAGCAGCAATTCAAGTCCTCCATCAGCAACATTGAGGGGATCATTTCATTGTGAGCATCTTGGGGATAGATTTATTAAGAAAAACCCTTAGCCACTTTGAGCCATTTCATTTTGCTGCTTTTAAAAAATGTTTGTGTCCTTGAGTCTCAGGTGATATAGCAGGTGGTTAGGGTCTCCAGAAAGCAGTCCAAGAACGCCCTTGTTTTGTTAGTGGTTTGACTACATTTGCATGAAAGGTATCCTTTCCTTTGCCATAAACTTTCAGGGCTGGACTATGATGTCTCAAGCAGAGCAGCAAATGGTGTGCCTCAGTCCCTTCATCGAGGCCAATCAAGTTATATTGGCTTCTGAAGCAGTAGCTTTCACAAGCATGTCTCTTCTTTTCCTGTCAGTAAAACTATAATCTAGATCTAGGTGGAATCTACTTGATTCACCTAGATCTACTTGAATCACTCGCTCTAGCCATGAGGGGTGGCTGAGGGGCCTAACGCCGAGGGAGGCCCGGAAAGAAAAAACAAGAAACTGGGCCTTCTCGCCAGTGGCCCATCACCTTTGGAATAGTCTCCCCACTGAGATTCACTTGGCCCCTTCGCTGGGTATTTTCAAGAGCCAACTCAAGACCTGGCTATTTAGGCAGGCCTTCCCTCCGGTCACTATCTGATTTCTTACCTTTTCCATCTTGAATGATATTCTTTGTTGTTAAATTGTTGTTTGATAATATTTAATTGTTTTAGTCTATTTTATTGTGAGCCGCCCAGAGTAGATGTTGTCTAAATGAGCATGATACTAAATAAATAAATAAATAAATAAATAAATAAAATAAATAAATAAATAAATAAATAAAT